GAACGTGAAGAACCAGTGGCATCTACATCTACAGAACGTGAAGAACCAATGGCATCTACATCTGCAGAACTTGAAGAACCGGTGGCATCTACATCTGTAGAACGTGAAGAACCAGTGGCATCTACATCTGTAGAACGTGAAGAACCAGTGGCATCTATATCTATGGACTCGCGCAGAGACCCTGGGACTCACTCAGAGACCCTGGGGCGAGGACAGAGACCCACAGACAGAAACCCCGTTACTCACTCACAGAGGGCCCCATAGCCTCACAGAGGGCCATAGACTCACACAGAGACCCGTAAACTCACACAGAGACCCATAGACTCACACAGAGACCCATAGACTCACACAGAGACCCGTAGACTCACACAGACCCGTAGACTCACACAGAGACCCATAGACTCACACAGAGACCCATAGACTCACACAGAGACCCATAGACTCACACAGAGACCCATAGGCTCACACAGAGAACCAGACTCCTCACACAGAGACCCATAGACTCACACAGAGACCCGTAAACTCACACAGAGACCCGTAGACTCACACAGACACCCGTAGACTTACACAGAGACCCGTAGACTCACACAGAGACCCGTAGACTCACACAGAGACCCGTAGACTCCCACAGACCCGTAGACTCACACAGAGACCCGTAGACTCACACAGAGACCCGTAGACTCACACAGAGAACCGTAAACTCACACAGAGACCCAAAGACTACTCACATAGACCCGTAGACTCACACATACACCCGTAGACTCACACAGACCCGTAGAACGTGAAGAACCAGTGGCATCTATATCTATGGACTCGCGCAGAGACCCTGGGACTCACTCAGAGACCCTGGGGCGAGGAGAGACCCACAGACAGAAACCCCGTTACTCACTCACAGAGGGCCCCATAGCCTCACAGAGGGCCATAGACTCACACAGAGACCCGTAAACTCACACTTAAACCCATAGACTCACACAGAGACCCGTAGACTCACACAGACCCGTAGACTCACACAGAGACCCGTAAACTCATACAGAGACCCATAGACTCACACAGAGAACCAGACTCCTCACACAGAGACCCATAGACTCACACAGACACCCGTAGACTCACAGAGACCCATAGACTCACACAGAGACCCGTAGACTCACACAGAGACCCGTAGACTCACACAGACCCGGAGACTCACACAGAGACCCAGACTCCTCACACAGAGACCCGTAGACTCACACAGAGACCCGTAAACTCACACAGAGACCCATAGGCTCACACAGAGACCCGTAGACTCACACAGAGACCCGTAGACTCACACAGAGACCCGTAGACTCACACAGAGACCCATAGACTACTCACATAGAGACCCGTAGACTTACACAGAGACCCATAGACTACTCACACAGAGACCCGTAGACTCACACAGAGACCCGTAGACTCACACAGAGAACCGTAAACTCACACAGAGACCCATAGACTAATCACATAGACCCGTAGACTCACACATACACCCGTAGACTCGCAGAGACCCATAGGCTCACACAGCGAACCACTCCTCACACAGAAACCCATAGACTCACACAGAGACCCGTAGACTCACACAGAGACCCGTAAACTCACACAGAGACCCGTAGACTCACACAGAGTCCCGTAGACGCAGAGACCCGTAAACTCACACAGAGACCCGTAGACTCACACAGACACCCGTAGACTCACACAGAGACCCATAGACTACTCACATAGAGACCCGTAGACTCACATAGAGACCCGTAGACTCACACAGACACCCATAGACTCACACAGACACCCGTAGACTCACACAGAGACCCATAGACTCACACAGAGACCCGTAGACTCACACAGAGACCCGTAGACTCACACAGACCCGTAGACTCACAGAGACCCATAGGCTCACACAGAGAACCAGACTCCTCACACAGAGACCTATAGACTCACACAGACACCCGTAGACTCACACAGAGACCCATAGACTCACACAGAGACCCGTAAACTCAGAGACCCATAGACTAACACAGAGACCCATAGACTCACACAGAGACCCGTAGACTCACACAGAGACCCGTAGACTCACACAGAGACCCGTAAACTCACACAGACACCCGTAGACTCACACAGAGACCCGTAGACTCACACAGAGACCCGTAGACTCACACAGAGACCCGTAGACTCACACAGAGACCCGTAGACTCACACAGAGACCCGTAAACTCACACAGAGACCCGTAGACTCACACAGACACCCGTAGACTCACACAGACACCCGTAGACTTACACAGAGACCCGTAGACTCACACAGACACCCGCAGACTTACACAGAGACCCGTAGACTCACACAGAGACCTGTAGACTCACACAGAGACCCGTAGACTCACACAGACCCGTAGACTCACACAGAGACCCGTAGACTCACACAGAGACCCGTAGACTCACACAGAGACCCGTAGACTCACACAGACCCGTAGACTCACACACAGACCCGTAGACTCACACAGAGACCCATAGACTACTCACAGAGACCCATAGACTACTCACACAGAGACCCATAGACTTACACAGAAACCCATAGACTCACAGACACCCACATACTCAAATAGACGACCCTGGGATTCGCACAAAGATGCCAAGGCGAGGGGGGCAATAGCTTTATTCACGAGCTTCTGGTTATACAGGGGGAGTGGGGGTGTAGAGAAGAGAGGGAGAGCAGTGGAGAGACAAGGGGGAGCATGGGGGAGTAGGGGAGAGATGAGAGTAGGAGGGAGGGTAGAGGAGAGAGATAAGAGTAGGAGGGAGAGAGATGAGAGAGAGTAGGGAACAGAGATGAGAGTAGGGGAGAGAGATAAGAGTAGGAGAGAGATAAGAGTAGGGGAGAGATGAGAGTAGGGGAGAGAGATGAGAGTAGGGGTGAGAGATGAGAGAGTAAGAGGGAGAGTAGGGGTGAGAGATGAGAGTAGGGGAGAGAGGTAAGAGTAGGAGGGAGAGAGATGAGAGTAGGGGACAGAGATGAGAGTAGCGTAGAGTAGGGGAGAGAGATGAGAGAGTCGGGGAAAGAGTAGGGGTGAGAGATGAGACTAGGAGGGAGAGATGAGACAGAGTAGGGGTGAGAGATGAGAGAGTAGGAGGGAGAGTAGGGGAGAGAGATGAGACGAGGGAGAGATGAGAGTAGGGCAGAGCAGGGGACAGATGAGAGAGTAGGGGAGAGAGTAGGGGTGAGAGATGAGAGTAGGGGAGAGTTCAGAGAAAAGGACGGGAGAGAAGATGGGTGGGAGAGTAGCGGGGGGAGAGAGGGGGGGGGGGAGAAATGGCGAGTGAAGTAAGAGAGACGACAGCGAGTAGAGTTTCGCTGTGGAACGGCGTTGCCTCCGCCGTCGGGGAAATCGAGAGCCTGCAACGGCCTCCACGCAAAGTCTCTCGACCCCTGCTCCCCCCCGAAGCTCAACATGCACAGCACACCAACGTAAACTACCACCACCACCATCATCATCACCATCATCAATCTCTACCACCACTATCATCACCATCTCTCCGCCATCGATCACCATCCACCGCCTCGACACGTAGGCCAAACCCCAGGAAACGTCTTAAAAACTTATAAACCAGAGGGAGGAGAGCATTTGTGCTGCAAGAAACACAGATGGGAAAGAGGTGCCTCACAACTTCAAAACAACAACAACAACAAAACACACTTTGTGGGGTAGCGAGGCCTGGGGTTAGCGGAGAGCGTGGGCCGCAAGCGAGCAAGCACGGGGGAGAGAGACCGACCACAGTGGACTACAAGTCAGGGCGTGCGCTGTTCCGCGCGTGTTGTGTGAAGGCTGCACTTGCCAAGCCGCTAGGCCCGGATTCTTAAGAAAGGGCCCAGGCCCTAGGCCCGGGGCTCGTGCCCAGGCCTCATGGCCTAGACTCAAACCCTAGGCCCAGGCTCAGGCCCGTAGGCTCTGGACCTAGGCCCAGGCTCAGGTCCTAGGCCCAGGCCCCAGGCTCAGGTCCTAGGCCCAGGCTCAAACCCTAGGCCCAGGCCCCAGGCTCAGGTCCTAGGCCCAGGCTCAAACCCTAGGCCCAGGCTCAAACCCTAGGCTCCGGACCTAGGCCCAGGCTCAGATCCTAGGCCCAGGCCCTAGGCCCAGGCTCAGGTCCTAGGCCCAGGCTCAGGTCCTAGGCTCAGGTCCTAGGCCCAGGCTCAAACCCTAAGCCCAGCCTCAAAGCCTAGGCTCCGGACCCTAGGCCCAGGCTCAGATCCTAGGCCCAGGCCCTAGGCCCAGGCTCAAATCCTAGGCCCAGGCCCTAGGCCCAGGCTCAGATCCTAGGCCCAGGCCCTAGGCCCAGGCTCAGGCCCTAGGCCCAGGCTCAGGTCCTAGGCCCGGGCCCCAAACACCTCCTAGGCAGTGCTCGGAAAGTTTTCACAGCAACCGCGGCTTTCTAGAGTGTCTGTTATGAGTGTGTGTGTCAGTGTGTATCACTGTGTGTGTGTCAGTGTGTATCACTGTGTGTGTATCTGTGTGTGTCACTGTGTGTATCACTGTGTATGTGTGTCTGTTATGAGTGTGTGTGTGTCAGTGTGTATCACTGTGTGTCTGTTACGAGTGTGTGTGTGTGTGTGTCAGTGTGTGTGTGTCAGTGTGTGCCACTGTGTGTGTGTCTGTGTGTGTGTCAGGGCAGGGAGTTGAGTGTCTGTGTGTGTGTCAGTGTATGCCACTGTGTGTGTGTGTGTCAGTTATGAGTGTGTGTGTCTGTGTGTGTGTCAGTGTGTGTGTGTATCACTGTGTGTGTGTCAGTGTGTGTGTCTGTTATGAGTGTGTGTGTCAGTGTGTGTGCGTATCACTGTGTGTGTATCACTGTGTGTGTGTCAGTGTGTGTGTGTATCACTTTGTGTGTGTGTCAGTGTGTGTGTCAGTGTGTGTGTGTATCACTGTGTGTGTGTATCACTGTGTGTGTGTATCACTGTGTGTGTCAGTGTGTGTGTGTATCACTGTGTGTGTGTATCACTCTGTGTGTGAGTCAGTGTGTGTGTGTATCACTGTGTGTGTGTGTCAGTGTGTGCCACTGTGTGTGGGTCTGTGTGTCAGGGCAGGGAGTTGAGGGTGTCTTGGATGAAGGTGTCCGGGTTTTCGATTTCTTCCAGGATTCCTGCACGCAGACAGATACGGAGAGACAGGGAGACACGGTGAGACACGGTGAGATACAGAGACACGGTGAGACACAGTGAGACAGAGAGACACGGTGAGACACGGTGAGACACAGAGACACAGAGATACGGTGAGACAGAGAGACACGGTGATACATGGTGAGACACAGAGACACGGAGACACGGTGAGACACGGTGAGACACGGAGACACGGTGAGACACGGTGAGACACGGTGAGATACAAAGACATGGTGAGACACGGTGAGATACAGAGACACGGTGAGACACGGTGAGACACAGAGACACGGTGAGACACAGAGACACGGTGAGACACGGTGAGACACAGAGACACGGTGAGACACGGTGAGATACAGAGACACAGTGAGACACGGTGAGACACGGTGAGACACGGAGGAGACACGGAGGAGACACGGGTGAGACACGGGTGAGACACAGAGACACGGTGAGACACAGAGACACGGTGAGACACAGAGACACAGTGAGACACGGTGAGACACGGTGAGACACGGAGGAGACACGGAGGAGACACGGTGAGACACAGAGACACAGAGACACGGTGAGACAGAGACAAGGTGAGATACAGAGACACGGTGAGATACAGAGACACGGTGAGACACGGTGAGACACAGAGACACGGTGAGACACAGAGACACGGTGAGACACAGAGACACGGTGAGACACGGAGGAGACACGGTGAGACAGAGACACAGAGACACGGTGAGACACGGTGAGACACGGTGAGACACAGAGACACGGTGAGACACAGAGACATGGTGAGACACGGAGAGACACGGTGAGACACGATGAGACACAGATACACGGTGAGACACGGTGAGACACAGAGACATGGTGAGACACAGTGAGACACAGAGACATGGTGAGACACAGAGACACGGTGAGACACGGTGAGACACAGAGACATGGTGAGACACGGAGAGACACGGTGAGACACGATGAGACACAGAGACACGGTGAGACACGGTGAGACACAGAGACATGGTGAGACACGGTGAGACACAGAGACATGGTGAGACACAGTGAGACATGGAGAGACACAGAGACACGGTGAGACACAGAGACACGGTGAGACACGGTGAGACACGGAGACACGGTGAGACACAGAGACACGGTGAGATACAGAGACACGGTGAGACACAGAGACACGGTGAGATACAGAGACACGGTGAGACACGGTGAGATACAGAGACACGGTGAGACACGGTGAGAAACAGAGACACGGTGAGACACAGAGACACGGTGAGACACGGTGAGACACAGAGACACGGTGAGACACGGTGAGATACAGAGACACGGTGAGACACGGTGAGACACAGAGACACGGTGAGACACGGTGAGATACAGAGACACGGTGAGACACGGTGAGATACAGAGACACGGTGAGACACGGTGAGATACAGAGACACGGTGAGACACAGTGAGACACGGTGAGATACAGAGACACGGTGAGACACAGAGACATGGTGAGATACAGAGACACAGAGACACGGTGAGACACAGAGACACGGTGAGACACGGTGAGATACAGAGACACGGTGAGACACAGAGACACGGTGAGACACGGTGAGACACGGGGAGACTCCCCCCGTGTCTCCCCTCTCCACCCACCCACCCCCCACCCACCCCAATGCCTCTCCTCGTCCTTCTCTCTCTACGTCCAACCCCGCCCCCCCCTGCCCCCCCCACCCCCCCCTGCCCCCCCCCCACCATGCCCCCCACCCCCGCCCGCACTGACCGGCCGCTCGTGCGAAGGCCGGAAAGCTGTGAGCCACCATGAGGTGGTCCTGCAGGGTACGCAGGGCCCGCTCGGACGCCTCCAGCAGCGCCACGTCGCCCTGACGCACAAACTCCGCTAGGGCAAACGACCAGCCCCCCTCCGCAGTGCTAGGGGGCACCTTCTGCATCCACCACGCGGCGGGGAGAAGGGGGGGGGGGGGGGGTGGAGATAGGGGGGGGGGAGGAGGGGGGGTGGGTCTAGGGGTTAGTGCACGGGGGTGGGGGGCAGATCCTTGGACTCGCGAGGAAACAGGTGGATGGAGTGTCTCAGTGTTGAGCCCAAATGTAGGCGGGCGTCTTCTTCGGTTCCTTCGGTAAAGTCACCACGTAGAATGGGAATGAGGTAATAAATTGATAAAACAAAATGACACAATTGATATTCTATCAATTCATTACCTTATTCTCGCTCTACGTGGTGGTGGTGGTGGTGGTGACTTTACCGAAAGAACCAAAGAAGACGAATCATTGCAGTCACGAAAGCTTTAAATAGGCGGGCGTGTTTAAAATAAATAAAACCATCATCACGTCAAAGGATTTGTCCCTCTCTAAACGGGCAGTGAGGCAACCACTGGCAAGGCAATTCGTCGAAATTCACGTCGTGATGCGATTCCCGGTCAAAGCGCGCCATCTAAATGGTGAAATGTGACGGGGGGGGGGGGGGGCATTACAGGGGAAAGGTAAAATTTAATTTAATTTAATAATATTCATAGTTTGGCCTTCTTTGGTTCCTTCGGTAAAGTCACCACGTGGAATGAGAATAAAATAACAAAGTAAAACAATAAAATTCTCGCGACGCTCCGGCCACAAGGCAAAGCGGCCTTCTTCGGGTGAAAGGAGCACCTCAATACTCTGACAAGTGCGCTGTTTTTTGAGTTGTGTGACGCCTTTTGGCCTCTTCTGGTCCAACACCAGTGGAGACTAAAGGGCTCTAAGAAAAGCCGTCTCGGGTGTGGACCAATCAAATTCAAGGACAGTGCCAATATTATTATCAGTTGTCTCTTTTGTTTGCATTTTGACTGCTTGTGTTGTGGTCATTGCAAACATGATGCCTTGAATAAAGGTGTCAGTTTTTGTGCCAGTTAAAAGGGGTAAAAACCTATTCCCATATCTTGTTTCTGGCAAAGGAGGTCTCATAAAGGAACAGAACCGCTGGGGACGACAGAGCTGCAATGAACGCTGCAAAAATTGGCGGCGTCTTTTTAAGCTGGTTGAGAGAAGTGAGGCACCTTGACGGAGGGGGGTTTACGTATCAAACAGGAGGATTTAGCATAGAAACAGTTGAGGGATTAGCTTGTTACTGGTCACAGAAATAGCTACGTTAAAGTCAAAGCCTGCACATCCACAGAGGCACCTGGTACAAATCAAACGGGAGAATTTAGCATTGAAATAACTGAGGGATTAGCTTGTGACCGGGTCGCAGAAATGGGTACGTTAAAGTCAAAGCCTGCACATCCACAGAGGCACCTAGGACAAATAAAACAGGAGAATTTAGCATTGAAATAACTGAGGGATTAGCTTGTGACTGGTTCACCGAAATAGCTACGTTAAAATCAAAGCCTGCACATCCACAGAAGCACCTAGTACAAATCAAACAGGAGAATTTAGCATTGAAATAGCTGAGGGAGTAGCTTGTGACTGGTTCACAGAAATTGCTACGTTAAATACTCTTTGGTTCTATTGGGTAAAGTCACGTAGGTGAAAATAAAATAACAAAAAATCACGACGTTTCGGCCACAACACAAGCGGCCTTCATCAGGTGAAGGGACGAGACTGTCTGGAGGACAGCGCTGGAGTGGGAGAAGCCACGCTCAGATCACGACCTTGACAAAGGAATTAGCATATAATTTAGCATTGAAATGGCTGAGTGATTAGCTTGTGACTGGTTCACAGAAATAGCTACGTTAAAGTCAAAGCCTGCACATCCACAGAGGCACCTAGTGCACGGACGCCACGGGGGCTGCAACAACTCAACTATCAGGCACGAACGCCTTCAATCGAAATAACAGTCGGGACAAGTTCGGCCGTACTTTGCCCGTGTCCGAGTTAGGGTCCACTGTCGAAGGTTAGGTAGCTCGTGGGTTCATGGCTAACGGTCGCGGGGTTCCGGTGATGGATTGACGGTCCGTCGGCACGGGGGAATGGTTTAACGGGGAATGGTTTAATGGGGGAATGGTTTAACGGGGGAATGGTTTAACGGGGAATGGTTCAACGGGGGAATGGTTTAACGGGGGAATGGTTTAACGGGGAATGGTTTAACGGGGAATGGTTTAACGGGCAAATGGTTTAACGGGGGAATGGTTTAACGGGGAATGGTTCAACGGGGGAATGGTTTAACGGGGGAATGGTTTAACGGGGAATGGTTTAACGGGGAATGGTTTAACGTGGAATGGTTTAACGGGGGAATGGTTTAACGGGGAATGGTTTAACGGGGAATGGTTTAACGGGGAATGGTTTAACGGGGAAATGGTTTAACGGGGAATGGTTTAACGGGGGAATGGTTTAACGGGGAATGGTTTAACGGGGAATGGTTTAACGGGGAATGGTTTAACGGGGAATGGTTTAACGGGGAATGGTTTAACGGGGAATGGTTTAACGGGGGAATGGTTTAACGGGGGAATGGTTTAACGTGGAATGGTTTAACGTGGAATGGTTTAACGGGGAATGGTTTAACGGGGGAATGGTTTAACGGGGAATGGTTTAACGGGGAATGGTTTAACGGGGGAATGGTTTAACGGGGAATGGTTTAACGTGGAATGGTTTAACGGGGAATGGTTTAGCGGGGAATGGTTTAACGGGGAATGGTTTAACGGGGAATGGTTTAACGGGGGAATGGTTTAACGGGGGAATGGTTTAACGGGGAATGGTTTAACGGGGAATGGTTTCACGGGGAATGGTTTCACGGGGAATGGTTTAACGGGGGAATGGTTTAACGGGGAATGGTTTAACGGGGGAATGGTTTAACGGGGGAATGGTTTAACGGGGAATGGTTTAACGGGGGAATGGTTTAACGGGGAATGGTTTAACGGGGAATGGTTTAACGGGGGAATGGTTTAACGGGGGAATGATTTAACGGGGAATGGTTTAACGGGGAATGGTTTAACGGGGAATGGTTTAGCGGGGAATGGTTTAACGGGGAATGGTTTAGCGGGCACGGGTTAACGGTTTGACGGTCAATGTGTCTTGCCGCTCACCTTGAACATGGCGTAGAGGAGCTCCACCATGCCCCAGAAGAGCAGAGCGTGCTTGTAGATGGAATAGTCCTTCTCCGTCTTGTCCGCCAGGCTGCACAAAGACAGAGACACACACACACACACAACGAGACACACGTTATACACACCCATCAACTCACCCACCCACTCAGCAACCCACCCAGTCACTCACTCATCAACCCACCCACCCATTCATCAACCCACCCACCCACTCACTCATCAACCCACCCACCCACCCACTCAGCAACCCACCCACTCACTCATCAACCCACCCACTCACTCATCAACCCACCCACTCACTCATCAACCCACCCACTCACTCATCAACCCACCCACTCACTCATCAACCCACCCACTCACTCATCAACCCACCCACCCACTCATCAACCCACCCACCCACTCACTCATCAACCCACCCACTCACTCATCAACCCACCCGCCCACCCACCCATCCACCCACCCACTCACCCATCAACCCACCCACCCACTCATCCACCCACCCACTCACCCATCAACCCACCCACTCATCAACCCACCCACCCACTCATTAACCCACCCACCCACTCATCAACTCACCCACCCACTCATCAACTCACCCACCCACTCATCAACCCACCCACTCACTCATCAACCCACCCACCCACTCACCCATCAACCCACCCACCCACCCACTCATCAACCCACCCACCCACTCATCAACCCACCCACCCACCCACTCACTCACCCATCAACCCACCCACTCACCCACCCACCCACTCATCAACCCACCCAACCTTTCCCCCCACCCACCCACCACACCCCCCCACCCCCCCCACCACACCACCACCACCACCCCACACCCACCCACCACCACCCCCCACACCCACCGTGCCACGCCCCCAGGAGCGACGTGCCGGGCGTGCGCCACCACGAGGAGCCTCCGCAGGGCGGTGACGCGGTGGCGACGCCATCGCTCCGGCGGCACCACGTGCAGCGCCATCACGGCCAGGTAGAGGGGCCCCTCCACCTCGAAGGAGCTCTCCACCCAGCGCTCGCGCCCGCCAGCACCGCCAGCACCGCCGGCACCGCCGTCGGCAAACAGCGCTTCCACGGCCTTCTCCTCGCGAGAGACGGCGCGGGTCCTGCGTGCCGGAGTGACGCGGGCGGTGAACGACATCGCCGGCGGTGAACGGCATCGCCGGCGGGGGCGGCGGCGGCATCGGCGACGTCATCGGCGTCGTCATCATCACTACCCTCGTCATCGTCAGTCGCTACCCATCGACATCGCCACTACCATCGTCATCATCGTCACTACCATCATCATCATCGTCATCGTCGTCATCGTCACTGCCATCATCATCATCGTCACTGCCATCATCATCATCACTACCATCATCATCATCATCAATCACTACCATCGACATCATCACTACCCTCATCATCATCGTCGTCACTACCATCATCATCGTCGTCACTACCATTATCATCACTACCATCATCATGCATCATCGTCACTATCATCATCATCATCAATCACTACCATCGACATCATCACTACCCTCATCATCATCGTCGTCACTACCATCATCATCGTCGTCACTACCATTATCATCACTACCATCATCATCCATCATCGTCACTATCATCATCATCATCAATCACTACCATCGATATCACCACTACCATCATCATCATCGTCACTACCATCACCACTACCACCTTCATCAATCACTACCATTGACATCATCACTACCATCATCATCATCAATCACTACCATCGACATCATCACTACCCTCATCATCATCATCGTCGTCACTACCCTCATCGTCACTACCATCATCATCTTCACTATCACCACCACCACTCGCAATCTCCACCCATCCTCCACTCTGCACAAACTCCTCTCCTGCCTCTCTCCCCCATCTCTCTCCCCATCACTCTCTCCCCCATCTCTCTCTCCCCCATCTCTCTCTCCCATCTCTCCCCCATCTCTCCCCCATCTCTCTATCCCCCATGTCTCTCCCCCATCTCTCTCATCCCATGTCTCTCCCCCATCTCTCTCTCCCATCTCTCCCCCATCTCTCACCCATCTCTCTCCCATCTCTCTCTCCCATCTCTCTCCCATCTCTCTCTCCCCATCTCTCTCTCCATCTCTCTCCCCATCTCTCTCCCCCATCTCTCTCCCCATCTCTCTCTCCCCCATCTCTCTCCCCATGTCTCTCCCCATCACTCTCCCCCCCATCTCTCTCTCCCATCTCTCCCCCATCTCTCACCCATCTCTCTCCCATCTCTCTCCATCTCTCTCCCCATCTCTCTCCCCCATCTCTCTCCCCATCTCTCTCTCCCCCATCTCTCTCCCTATGTCTCTCCCCATCACTCTCCCCCCCATCTCTCTCTCCCCCATGTCTCTCCTCCATCTCTCTCATCCCATCTCTCTCTCCCCCATCTCTCTCTCCCATCTCTCCCCCATCTCTCACCCATCTCTCTCCCATCTCTCTCCATCTCTCTCCCCATCTCTCTCCCCCATCTCTCTCCCCATCTCTCTCTCCCCCATCTCTCTCCCTATGTCTCTCCCCATCACTCTCCCCCCCATCTCTCTCTCCCCCATGTCTCTCCTCCATCTCTCTCATCCCATCTCTCTCTCCCCATCTCTCTCTCCCATCTCTCCCCCATCTCTCTCTCCCCCATCTCTCTCCCCATCTCTCTCCCCCATCTCTCTCTCCCCCATGTCTCTCCCCCATCTCTCTCTCCCCATCTCTCTCTCCCCCATCTCTCTCCCCATCTCTCTCATCCCATCTCTCTCTCCCCCATCTCTCTCTCCCCCATCTCTCTATCCCCCATGTCTCTCCCCCATCTCTCTCATCCCATCTCTCTCTCCCCCATCTCTCTCTCCCATCTCTCCCCCATCTCTCACCCATCTCTCTCCCATCTCTCTCTCCCATCTCTCTCCCCCATCTCTCTCCCATCTCTCTCCCATCTCTCTCTCCCCATCTCTCTCTCCATCTCTCTCCCCATCTCTCTCCCCCATCTCTCTCCCCATCTCTCTCTCCCCCATCTCTCTCCCCATGTCTCTCCCCATCACTCTCCCCCCCATCTCTCTCTCCCATCTCTCCCCCATCTCTCACCCATCTCTCTCCCATCTCTCTCTCCATCTCTCTCCCCATCTCTCTCCCCCATCTCTCTCCCCATCTCTCTCTCCCCCTTCTCTCTCCCCATGTCTCTCCCCATCACTCTCCCCCCCATCTCTCTCTCCCCCATGTCTCTCCTCCATCTCTCTCATCCCATCTCTCTCTCCCCCATCTCTCTCTCCCATCTCTCCCCCATCTCTCTCTCCCCCATCTCTCTCCCCATCTCTCTCCCCCATCTCTCTCTCCCCCATGTCTCTCCCCCATCTCTCTCTCCCCATCTCTCTCCCCATCTCTCTCATCCCATCTCTCTCTCCCCCATCTCTCTCTCCCCCATCTCTCTAGCCCCCATGTCTCTCCCCCATCTCTCTCATCCCATCTCTCTCTCTCCCATCTCTCCCCCATCTCTCACCCATCTCTCTCCCATCTCTCTCTCCCATCTCTCTCCCCCATCTCTCTCCCATCTCTCTCTCCCCATCTCTCTCTCCATCTCTCTCCCCATCTCTCTCCCCCATCTCTCTCCCCATCTCTCTCCCCATGTCTCTCCCCATCACTCTCCCCCCCATCTCTCTCTCCCATCTCTCCCCCATCTCTCACCCATCTCTCTCCCATCTCTCTCTCCATCTCTCTCCCCATCTCTCTCCCCCATCTCTCTCCCCATCTCTCTCTCCCCCATCTCTCTCCCCATGTCTCTCCCCATCACTCTCCCCCCCATCTCTCTCTCCCCCATGTCTCTCCCCCATCTCTCTCATCCCATCTCTCTCTCCCCCATCTCTCTCTCCCATCTCTCCCCCATCTCTCTCTCCCCCATCTCTCTCCCATCTCTCTCTCCCCATCTCTCTCTCCCCCATCTCTCTCCCCCATGTCTCTCTCCCCATCTCTCTCCCCATCTCTCTCATCCCATCTCTCTCTCCCCCATCTCTCTCTCCCATCTCTCCCCCATCTCTCTCCCATCTCTCTCTCCATCTCTCTCCCCATCTCTCTCCCCCATCTCTCTCCCCATCTCTCTCTCCCCCCTCTCTCTCCCCATGTCTCTCCCCATCACTCTCCCCCCAATCTCTCTCTCCCCCATGTCTCTCCCCCATCTCTCTCATCCCATCTCTCTCTCCCCCATCTCTCTCTCCCATCTCTCCCCCATCTCTCTCTCCCCCATCTCTCTCCCATCTCTCTCTCCCCATCTCTCTCTCCCCCATCTCTCTCCCCATCTCTCTCCCCCATGTCTCTCTCCCCATCTCTCTCTCCCCCATCTCTCTCCCCATCTCTCTCATCCCATCTCTCTCTCCCCCATCTCTCTCCCATCTCTCTCTCCATCTCTCTCCCCATCTCTCTCCCCCATCTCTCTCCCCATCTCTCTCTCCCCCATCTCTCTCCCCATCACTCTCCCCCCCATCTCTCTCTCCCCCATGTCTCTCCCCCATCTCTCTCATCCCATCTCTCTCTCCCATCTCTCCCCCATCTCTCTCTCCCCCATCTCTCTCCCATCTCTCTCTCCCCATCTCTCTCTCCCCCATCTCTCTCCCCATCTCTCTCCCCCATCTCTCTCTCCCATCTCTCTCCCCATCTCTCTCCCCATCTCTCTCCCCATGTCTCTCCCCCATCTCTCTCATCCCATCTCTCTCTCCCCCATCTCTCTCCCATCTCTCTCCCATCTCTCTCTCTCCCCATCTCTCTCTCCCCCATCTCTCTCCCCATCTCTCTCCCCCATCTCTCTCTCCCATCTCTCTCCCCATCTCTCTCCCCATCTCTCTCCCCCATCACTCTCCTTCCCCCCATCTCTCTCCCATCTCTCTCTCCCCCATCACTCTCCCCCATCACTCTCCCCCATCTCTCTCCCCCATCTCTCTCCCCCATCACTCTCCCCATCTCTCTCTCCCCCATCTCTCTCTCCCCATCTCTCTCTCCCCATCTCTCTCTCCCCCATCTCTCTACCCCATCTCCCTCCCCATCTCTCTCTCCCCCATCTCTCCCCCATCACTCTCCCCCATCACTCTCCCCATTTCTCTCTCCCCCATCTCTCTCCCCCATCACTCTCCCCACCTCTCTCCCCCATCTCTCTCTCCCCCATCTCTCTCTCCCCATCTCTCTCCCCATCTCTCTCCCATCTCTCTCCCATCTCTCTCCCATCTCCCTCCCCATCTCCCTCCCCATCTCTCTCCCATCTCTCTCCCATCTCTCTCTCCCATCTCTCTCTCCCATCTCCCTCCCCATCTCTCTCTCCCCCATCTCTCTCTCCCCCATCACTCTCCCCCATCTCTCTCTCCCCCATCTCTCTCTCCCCATCTCTCTCCCCATCTCTCTCCCCATCTCTCTCTCCCCCATCTCTCTCTCCCCCATCTCTCTCTCCCCCATCTCTCTACCCCATCTCCCTCCCCATCTCTCTCTCCCCCATCACTCTCCCCCATCTCTCTCCCATCTCTCTCTCCCCCATCTCTCTCTCCCCATCTCTCTCCCCATCTCTCTCCCAATCTCTCTCTCCCCCATCTCCCTCCCCATCTCTCTCCCATCTCTCTCTCCATCTCTCTCCCCATGTCTCTCCCCCATGTCTCTCCCCATCTCTCTCTCCCCCATCTCTCTCCCCATGTCTCTCCCCATGTCTCTCCCCATCACTCTCCCCCCCATCTCTCTCTCCCCCATGTCTCTCCCCCATCTCTCTCATCCCATCTCTCTCTCCCCCATCTCTCTCTCCCATCTCTCCCCCATCTCTCTCTCCCCCATCTCTCTCCCATCTCTCTCTCCCCATCTCTCTCTCCCCCATCTCTCTCCCCATCTCTCTCCCCCATCTCTCTCTCCCATCTCTCTCCCCATCTCTCTCCCCATCTCTCTCCCCATCTCTCTCCCCCATCACTCTCCTTCCCCCCATCTCTCTCTCCCCCATCACTCTCCCCCATCTCTCTCTCCCATCTCTCTCTCCCATCTCTCTCTCCCATCTCTCCCCCATCTCTCTCCCATCTCTCTCTCCCATCTCTCTCCCCCATCTCTCTCTCCCCATCTCTCTCTCCATCTCTCTCCCCATCTCCCTCCCCATGTCTCTCCCCATCTCTCTCCCCATCTCTCTCTCCCCCATGTCTCTCCTCCATCTCTCTCATCCCATCTCTCTCTCCCCCATCTCTCTCTCCATCTCTCTCATCCCATCTCTCTCTCCCCCATCTCTCTCCCATCTCTCTCCCATCTCTCTCTCTCCCCATCTCTCTCTCCCCCATCTCTCTCCCCATCTCTCTCCCCCATCTCTCTCTCCCATCTCTCTCCCCATCTCTCTCCCCATCTCTCTCCCCCATCACTCTCCTTCCCCCCATCTCTCTCCCATCTCTCTCTCCCCCATCACTCTCCCCCATCACTCTCCCCCATCTCTCTCCCCCATCTCTCTCCCCCATCACTCTCCCCATCTCTCTCTCCCCCATCTCTCTCTCCCCATCTCTCTCTCCCCATCTCTCTCTCCCCCATCTCTCTACCCCATCTCCCTCCCCATCTCTCTCTCCCCCATCTCTCCCCCATCACTCTCCCCCATCACTCTCCCCATTTCTCTCTCCCCCATCTCTCTCCCCCATCACTCTCCCCACCTCTCTCCCCCATCTCTCTCTCCCCCATCTCTCTCTCCCCCATCTCTCTCTCCCCATCTCTCTCCCCATCTCTCTCCCATCTCTCTCCCATCTCTCTCCCATCTCCCTCCCCATCTCCCTCCCCATCTCTCTCCCATCTCTCTCCCATCTCTCTCTCCCATCTCTCTCTCCCATCTCCCTCCCCATCTCTCTCTCCCCCATCTCTCTCTCCCCCATCACTCTCCCCCATCTCTCTCTCCCCCATCTCTCTCTCCCCATCTCTCTCCCCATCTCTCTCCCCATCTCTCTCTCCCCCATCTCTCTCTCCCCCATCTCTCTCTCCCCCATCTCTCTACCCCATCTCCCTCCCCATCTCTCTCTCCCCCATCACTCTCCCCCATCTCTCTCCCATCTCTCTCTCCCCCATCTCTCTCTCCCCATCTCTCTCCCCATCTCTCTCCCAATCTCTCTCTCCCCCATCTCCCTCCCCATCTCTCTCCCATCTCTCTCT